ACTTGTAACTCCAGACAAGAATTGGGTTTGCGCTTTTTCTGCAGTTTGTAGGTGGCTACCGCGAAAAACGCATCGACGCCAAAACCATGGAGTGCTCGACCGTCCGCAGTATTCCCACGCCGCCGCCGTACTTGGGCGGCCCCTTAATCCCTTCCTGGGTGCATTACTTCCCTTACACGGACGGCTACGTCGTGGAGCAGCCTCTGTACATCGACCAACTCGAGCACTTGTTCAGGTAGGGGGACATGGAGTACACCATCTTCGACTGGACGCCGGAGCGCGGCGCTCGAATGCACCTGGTGCCCTTGGACCCGGTTGAAAAGGTGGGGTGCGACCAACATTCTTCGGGGGAAAATAGTGCAATAAAGTACTGTCAAATGTTAAACATTAGACCAGTTTTGACCTGAAATTATTCTGAAGCGGCCGCACAAACATGCCGCAAAGCACATCTCGGCGGGCCTGCTGGAACATGGGAACACATGTTCAGCGCTGTATTAGGGATGCGAAGCTGTTGTGTTTTGTTGCAAGGCACTAACAAGTGTGGATGCAATGGCCATTTCGATTTGTGCCCATTTCGCGCGAAAGGACGTGAGGGCGGCGATTCCATCACGCCGACATCTCGAGGTTGTTTGCTCAGATCACCTTGCCATTCTGCAGCCAGATCCAGACTAGGGCTTAAACTGGTTGCAGCAATCTGCTCCTGGAAAGCTCTTAAAATCTGCACAGGTTTGTGAAAAGAATCTAGTGCAGCACGTGCATACCATCCATCATGGTCTTGCAATTTCGTCGGCAAATTAGTGTATTTTGCATAAAACAGCTCAGAGATCGTTGGATTAAAGCAATCGCCCCATCGTTGACCAAATTGGCGCATCGCCCACTCCGTAAGCTCTTTTGATGCTTGCACAATGAGAAATGGTAAAATTGTGTATGTTTATTGTGAATATGCTCAGAATCTGTGTAGAATTTACACGGAATTTGGATTTTTGGTTCATATGTCGTTGAAGAATTTGGCTTATATGTAGTTCGAAATCTGTTTTGTCGACAGTTTTCTGTGCTATCGCCTAAACTTTTGCCCTCTGCGACAGGAACCATAGCGGCAGTTACCATTGTCAGTGTCAGGAGCGCCTAGATGATGTGTCGTTCCAGCTGAACTGTCTTTTCTATACGAGCTAATTGACTGAGAAAGCGCCACTACATAGCATGACCGCTGCGCGTGCGCCGAATAGACAGTTCGTGTGTGGGTGTGCAAGCAGCATGAGAATTCGATGTACAAGTATTTCAAATGAAATCACATCATGCGGAAATGCATCAAGGGCCCAAAGGCAAAGCAAATTGCTCCGTATCGTGTTCTTTCCACAGAGGACGGGTTCTACGATTCTTGGAGAATTCTTGCCCAAAGTCGATCTCTTTTCAAGGAAACCAAAGCGGTAAATATATTGTTAACAGAGCACTAAGTACGAGAGTTCTCGTTGCAGGTTCGCACTTTCACAGCACCGACGTTCTGCGCATTCCACTACGGCAACGTTTTCGCGTCGGAGGACGGTGAAAGGATGTGCTTCGGCGTGGCCATGTACAAGGACCCGACCATCGTGAGGGATCTCAACATGGAGAACCTCATGTCTGGCGACATCGAAATGCCGGAGTCGTCGCTCTGTAGGTTCGAGCTGCCGCTGGGATCCAGTGCCGATGGCACGGAAGTGAGCCCATGGAACCTTGCTCCAGGTCTAAGCTACTACGACTTTCCGTCGTTCAATGAAGAGTATCGGGGCAGACGCTCAAGGTGAATGCGGACGCGGACGGAGGCGAAGTGCAAATTTGAAATTTGGCGAAGCGGCCATTCACTGAACATGATGATGTTGATGGCCCGCATTCATTTTACCAGCGGAGAAATCCAGACCGCTGCACAATTGCCTTCTTCTATTAGACTACTGCACATCTGTACAGATGCACAGACCACCACTTATGTTACTGAATCTTAAGCATGTGCATATGTGCTGCGTTTGCACGTGGTGGTCGTTGTGGGGCGCTGTCCTCACCCATTGATACCTTTTCCCAAAGAACGCTTTGTTCCAAAAACGAAGAGGCAGAAACTTCTTCTCGTACGTCAGTGCATCGCACTTGCTTGGTGGTTTCTTCGTGAACATCATGTGTCCAAAATGCTTCCAAACCGGCAAGTGTTTTGGCATTTCCTATGTATAGGAAAAACTGCAGTCACAGTTTCTGCGAAAGATCTCGCAAGTCGAATTCACGTCTTGCAGCTCAACTCGCTTTGCTCATTGGGGGCAATCGAACCTGCCACTCGCGAACATCGAGAATAGTTCTTCTATCCACCGACTTAATCGACGCCTTCTTTCAGCACACCACATGTAATCACTAACTATTACTACCGCTCGCAATAATCGGGCCCGCGAACCGCCATGCTGTGAAACATTTGAGCGCAGTATGTTAGACGAAGAGCAAACGTGGAGCCATTCCTATCGTCGCCTTGCGGGTGCGGACTTTGTAGTGCGGAATTGGCTTATTACCATGCGCCTGCAACTTGAATAAAAGTGCTCCAGTTTTCCAACTCACGGCATTGATGTCGCGATACTGCAGCAACGCGGTGTCGCGATGCCATCTGTGCTTCGATTAAATGCGACGGGTTTTGAAAATAATGGGACGATCTTGGCATTGTTGTGACTATACTGCGTTCACATAGGATGCAGGTTCGCGTATGGCGCGTCCACCGCCAGGCCCGCTAGCGCTACCAACGCCTTGTGCAAGGTGGGCACAATGTCGCCATCCTACGTCATCTGGCACGAGCCCGGAACGAACCCAAGTGCGTACAGATCCAATCTCTGAAGAACATGACCTGTTTCCGAAGTATCCGTATCCACCCACGATCAAGGCGGCACCTTTACAACATTCTCTGCGGCACTCTGCCCAACATGCTCTACGTAGGCATGGTCACAAATCAGCTCTTGCCACATTAGAATGACAATCGACCTGTTCCATTTTGTGCAATGCGGCTCGTGTAGACGCAAACAGTCGCAGGGCGAAAGTTAAGCCATGCTGAATGCCAAAATTACGCCAACGTCTAGTTCTAAATGTGCGTTTTGTTTGGCAGGCGAGCCGCATTTTTTGCCGCGTCCAGGCTGTGAAAGTGAAGATGATGGGGTGGTCATTTCGCAGACAATTGGATCCGACGGGCTGACGTTCCTGCTGTTCCTGGATGGCAAGTCATTTGAGGAGATCGCCAGGGCTAAACTGCCTTACTCCATGACTTCCAGATTTCACGGCCAATTCGTCCCAAAGAATGGCCCTGGAATGGAGAGCAGGGACATGAGCAAAGCTGTTACTGTTTGTGGAGGTGCCGTATTCAACTGCAACCGCATTGTCTACAAGATATAGTGAGCCGACAGCCCGGGAAGGGGGAACTTTTTGGGACGTGGTTGTCAAATGATGGGTGGCTATTCTGGGCGTAACGGGCGACTGCCTGTTTGCAAATCGTGCCTGGCCAAGCAATCGCACTCAGGGAAGGAGTGCGGGAATTTTTTATATCGTATTCAGGGATAGTGTATCATGATGGGGGAGACTTTGTACAGGTACTACTTTGGCTGAATTATCTGGAATTAAAGCTCCTACTGTGGTCAGGACTTTGAAATGGCAGGACAAAACGAATGAAACGGCATTTTGAATGGGGATAGAAATTGGGTCGACAAAATTTTGGATGTTCTTTCAATGGCGTGGACGATGGTTCTGTGGATTAGGGTGCATCGTCATTGCCGTGCTATTCAGAAAATCGGCTTTAGAACAGACGCTTTGTAGCACGGGATAAATGGGTCTTCGCTTCCAGCAATTGGCTGCCATACGATTGCGCCTACGCTGCATGAAGAGAATTCAAGACAGAGTGGGCTGCGAGGGGAGTTTGAATACACCCATTCACAATGAATTGTCACCATTGGGTGGAGAACAGTGGTTTTCATCCATGCCCGATGGTTTTGTCGTTTTTTGTGGTTGGGGACGGTATTTTCGTTTGGTGCACGCTAGCCAGGACAATAGTGAAGTGGGCACGACAGTTCGTCCCGTGTGTGACTGCGGCAGGCATTTGAATTTGGGACGCCTACGTCGCATCATGGTGCATTCGATTCATCACACCAATAGATGTCTCATCTCCAACATTTTTGTACGATGCTTCCTGATGTTCCTGTCCTTCGGATTTGTCATGCTTGTGCTGAATCTCTCGGTTAGAAGTGCAGTGCTTTGGCCGCCATGCAGATTATCTCTGGAGCGCTGCGTGGACCACGTGCTAGTGGCAGCGCAGCTGCAATTCGTTCCTAAACCCCTCACTCGAGTGTGTCTCTCGACCTGAATGCCAACACGTGCGACAAATGGATGAAAGGATCCTCGGCTTACATAACAATACCAACAACATCATTCCCAATCCAAGGCGAGCAACGAGTCCTACCCACGTGTGCAACAAATGAGTGCAAGAATCCCAGGATTACATGACAATACCAACAATATCATTCCAAATCAAAAGGCGAGCAACGGGTTCCTACCCAGCGCCCCCAAACCACAAGAGAGCGAGTACGAGAGCATGCACCGAACTTGCGATCCTTCTATCTCCCGCCATGTAACCGTGGTATTGTGCACTGGCATCGCCATATGCAATCGCAGACCTCCAAAGCGCAACAGAGCAACCACTCAAGCAATGAGTCATCTGTTGGAATAAATCCCACCAAGATCGTTTGTATGCCAACAATTTCCAATCTCCTACCCCCCACCTCCCCAGCTCCAAAATAAGAGGGCCTGAAAATGTCTGGAGAACATGACAGAGTTGAGCTCCACCGCCCTGCCTCTGCCGCCACGGCTTCAGTCACCGTGTGATCAAACAAACAACGCAGATAATTTGGAAGGGAAGACAGCAACAAGGCGCAGCTCAACGGATCTCTGCCCTGGAATGTGCCGAATCGCAATGCCGTGGGTTGGGACAAAGTCAACCTTGTGACTGATGCACATCATGCGGCTTCCGCGGGAACGAATTCGCCGTGGAACCTGCAAGGCATCGAGTAAGGAAGCTTCGCCCTGGCCACCTCCTTGAAGGTCTTTCCGTCCAGAAACAGCAGGAATGACAGGCCATCGGATCCCGTCACCGTGGAAAGGATGATGCCGTCGTCTTCGCCGTCGCCAGAGGGCCGCGGTACAAAGTGGGGTTCCCCTGCAAGCACGTGCGCTCCTTCTTGTCAAGCCGAAGTTTCTTGTCGAGTCCACATGATTGACCCTCCGAAATCCTGTGCACGCTCATAAACATGTGCTCCGGTGGTTCCATGCCAGAGACATAGGCGCATTCACGGGTCTGCCATTTATCTTTCTACTACTTTTACGTAAATACCCCTGCAAGCACTGACAGTCAGCAGTAGCGATATCACACGCATTGTGCAAAAGAATACGGTACAGCATCGCCATATGTTATGCGTGTTGTTCTATATTATGCTCTGTCACATGCCTTGTGTTAATAGCGGTAACAACAGCCGCAGTAACAGTACCACCAGCAGCGGCATGCACGCATTGTTAATATTGCAACCCTGCAACTGCTGCTCCTACTGCCGCTACTGCTATTCTTGACACTACCAACACAAGGCGTATCAATATCAGCACCATTGACCTGACGTTCAGTTCGCTGGCAGCAGGTCCTACCTGGTGTGGTGCCCGGTTCGTGCCAAATGGCGAAGGTCCCCGTCTCTGCATCGACCTTGCACAGGGCGTTGGCGGCGCAAGTCGGTCTGACGACCGATATTCCGTAGGTGAACCTATGGGCAACGGAATGCGTCAAAAACACCATGCCGGATGCTTAAAGCATATGCATGGGAGCGGCGATTGCTCTTGACTGCGCGTTGTTCCAGAACAAGCAGATCTATTTGCCTAAGCGCATGGCATTCGCTCATCCTCCTCATCTGCTTATCACTTGATGTCATGGACAGCAAGCTGCGCGTATCAGGCCGCCAAGCTACCACTGATTCCAGGCATTTCGAATGCACGACTGGCAGCGCTCTCGAATCCAATTGGGCAGTGCAGTGACCGTCACGGCATTGGCGCAAAATCAACAGGCAGAAAATCCTGCAATGCTATGCTATATTTCAAGACAGTCAAATCACATTTAATGAGCAGGAACGCTACAATTTGGGCTGGCAAAGAAACAAGGCCCTCTCCCTGCTTTGCTATTCATGTTTTGGATATTGGCAGCAGCTACCCGGCATCCCAAAAGTATGATCTAGATTCTGGTTTAGAAGCAAGTTAACAGGTCGCTTGTGTGGGAGACAATCCCAACAATCCTTCAAAATTTAAAGAATCTGGACACGTCGGTGAGCATGTGCCAAATGCAATCTTGTTGCGCGCGTCGCTGGTGCGTCTGTGAGCAGTTGCGCTCTGCAACAAACCAAAGTCAGTAACTTTTTTGTACTGCTGCTCGGCACTGTAAGGCCCTACGTGCTGCCAGGGCACCACAGCAGTTATTGAAGGTAGGGGGGGAGGGGGTCTGAGAATAGCGTCCGCCCAACGCTGAGCGTTCTAGAGTCAAAACAGTGTTTTCTTTCAGCACGTCATGGGAAGGGATTGCGAAATGCTTCCCGATTGAGATAACCATGCATGCGTTGTCATATTCAGCAACCTCGATTAATGAGGATCGGCTCTGCGACCCACCTGTTTGCCTTCCCCTTGTACTCCTTGTTGAAGGAAAGAAAGTCCATGAAGTCGACGCCAGGCGCCAGGCAACGCCCAGTCACTTCCCCGCCATCGGGCCCATCCAACGGCAGCTCGTACCTCCAAAGGGATGACTGCGAAACCTCGTTCTCGCCCGGCCTCAGGTTCTCCAAGAGCAGGTCGTTGACAATCTGGGGGTCTTCGTAGCGTGAAACGTCGAAGCACAGCCGCTTGCCGTCCTCCGAGACGAAGGTGTTGCCGTAGTGAAAGGCGAAGAAGGTGGGGGTCGAGAAAGTGCGAACCTGGGACGCGCCGGTTGAGGTGAGCAAGCCAACAAAACCCGCATCTGCCAACAGCGCATTCGTTCCCCAGTGTAGCGCCGAGCAAATGACCTATTTGCAGTGAATCGTGTGCATTTGGATCATTTCAAGTTTGATACACCCCATGCCATGACATAGCACCGATCGATGCTGGGCACAGTTGGAATACCAGCAAATGTTAACTGGAGTGTTGCAGTGCATTTGCTTTCACCAAAGCCTTCATCAAGGGCCGCGCAAACGAAAAGATGCAACAAACAGGAACAGGGATGCGTTTTGCACACGTTTCCTTAACGTTTCCCCATTTCCCTCTTCTTCTGGACAGCTGATGGATGCACAACGTCATCCGTGCCTGGCTGGATAAAGTTGCTCCAGTTCGGTAATTGGAGACACAGAACAATGCCATTCGTTGAAATTGTGGCCCTTGAAAGTCCTCATGCAATACATAATCCGTGTTAGACTAAACCTCACCTGGCTCAATTAATCCAACCTGACATATCCTGACCAAACCTAACCCAATCAACTGCAGCATCAGTTAAACCCAGCAGGCAATGGCAATGCTTTCTACTGTTTCGACAAGTGCGATGAATTGGGAGCTCTCCTGGATCTTGTACGAGATAGGATGGGTTCGTAAGTGTTGCCATTATTGCTAATGGTGGAAAGCACAAGCTCTAACTGAATATGAGACAGCATACAAACCAGAAGTGGGCATGCGCCACACACAATAATACAAACAGAAACAGGGTAGAACGGAAAGGAAAATTGTTGAATCAAGCTATTCAGACAGAAGAACAACAAATCCACTGAGGGCCTGTCAATTGCCTTACTTTCTTTGATGGATCCAATGGAACAATGTGGAATCTGGTACCATCCTCAGGCACCCAGTCGAAAACCACATGCTCAGCAACCTGGCCAAATGCCAGTGATCCAAGATTGTAGTAGATAGGCTGCTCCACAATGACCACGCAGTCATCTGTGGCTGGGAAATCATGGATCCAAGATGGTGCCGCCGGCCGCTGAGCTGGCAAACTCCTTATTGCCGTGCATTTCATCGTCCTTGGGTTGGTGCGCTGAATGACAAACCCCTCCCCGATCTTCAAGTGAAAGCAGTAAGATTCAGTAAAAAGGGTAAGAAACCATATCTGGTGTCAGGTGTCACATCCTTCTGAATTTGGACCTTTGCGTGTTTGGAATTTGCGCAGTGAACGAATGATCTGCACCTGATCTTTGACAAAAATATAGGCCAGAAATTTGACATGCAGACAACAGCACAGAATGCAAAGCACCGAGATTGGAGAATGCTTAAGCTTATACAAGCAATCTGAGGAACATGGATATTCCAAGAGCATTACATGAGCAGAAAGCACAAGAGCCATTTGCCGCACAGTCAACACCAATTTTCCCAATATACTTGTACAACAACATTGGAGTGATGATCAAGTGTTGATCATTTGACTTGTTCCCTTCCTTGCAGTGTGTTGGCAGGAGCCAAAGTTGCAGCGCTGGGAGCAGACACCAACTGACGATTTCAAGCAAATACAAGAGCCTATCGGGACTGCCCATTCCATAACTGTGTATTGAATGATGTACACAGAGCCAATTGTTAACCACCAGAAGCTACGATTTGGTTAAAGGATTGGAATAGAAATTTGGCTTAAAAAGTGGCAAATTCATCTCTGAATTTACTTGCTTTTTTCGGCTCAAATGTATTCGCACACCACCAATTTCTTTACCTAACCTCGGGCAGCATAAATTCCACCTATACTGACTGCTTGCGTCAACGATTTGCAGATGTAAGGTCTTAACAACCATTCTTTGGACATTTGCCATTAACGCCAATATAACAGATGAACAAAAACTGAGAAATCGATGAGGGCCGTAGGGACGAACAAAACAAACTCATTCTATGACTTGATATCATGTACTTGCATATGATCATATAGTCTAAATGTAACTCTCGAAGGACAAAACACCGGTTTAACCTTCCATACAATTAGCTTCTAAGAAAATTGTTAAAAGAAATCTGAACAAGGCACTACAAAACGCTCAATGGTGTTGACAAGTAAGCTTATCAGGCAATTCGGGAACACAAGCTTGTGCCCCATACATTCAAGCCAAGCTTATGCAACATCGAATAGAAGTATGAGCGTCGTCAGACAAATGGAGTGGAATTGCTCACAAAGATTCCGCGAAACTTCACAACACGTCAGAATTTCTCTTGATATTGTCGATTTCACGGCCCGCAAGCAGCTTACCAGCACTGCGCCCTGTGCAAACGTGCTTTTAAGAGCCGCACAGTTGATACACTGCTTAGTGAACTATGACTGCCAGGATATATCGTGAAGGTGCATGCGCTCTTGGCACTCTAAAGTTGGCAATCGACTCCATGCCTTCCTCTGAAGGCCCCGTACATTGAACGCACCACGCAGTTGCCCTTGTTCATTTGTGCATGGTCTGATTTGTTCCCAATGTAAATTGATAAAAAAATCTCACCGCTGTGCCAACGTTTATGAGGTCCCCATCGCTGAGCTTGGTATGGTGCGCCGTGGCCAGGTTCTCTTTGACTTTTGAGTCCACAAGCGGCTGAGACTGCATCTCTAAAGTACTTGGGTCCACTATATAGTGGGAATGCTTCGACTCTGACAACACAAAGGCTGATGAGAGCTCCTGTGGACTTATGAGCACCAGCTAAATGTTGGGATTTTCAGGACACTGCCATCGATACAATCTACTGCGTCCAACTCAAGGCAATTTCACCAGTACCTTCCCTGTTTTTGGTCTTCTGCTACAAACTGCCACCGGGCACTGCTTCGCTGAGGAGTAGCGCAAAGAGGAGGGTCTTTCAAGATGGTACCAAAACAGTAGGCAACAACGTAGACAAAGCTGAACGGCAAAAAATGAGGAATTGGGGCAAACTTATAGTAATGGGGATGCATTCCGTGGTCTGAATTATTGAATGATATGAACATCGAGAATATGAAAGACAAAGCAAGCAGGGCTGCAAACCTACCACTGGTTGCCAGCAACTTTCCCTGTCCCACAGACACGATGTTGACACTTGCATTGTCTGTGAACGACTGCCTGTTCAGCAGCAATCCCGCCAGCAAGGACCAGATGTCCTTTATCTTCCTTCCGAGGCCGTCCCCAGGCAGGTGCGTGCCAAATTCGTTGAATTTCATCTGACCTGATTCCCTGTGGGGCAAGATTACGACAATGAAGGCAAAATCCCCAATCAGACCAAGATCAATCCAAAATTTCAGTAACTTCTTTTCCGCTGATTGGATTTGCCATTGAACGTTATCAATACCACAAGAGTGAATTACCACTGTATGCAACACTGCATGCCCCTGAAATGGAGTACATTCGTCAGCACAGTGTCCTGTTGCACAATGGACGGGATTTGATGTGTGCAATTTCACTAACTTTTCAAAATCGCTTCATTACAATATTGATTAGTGAAAGCCTAAAAGCACTCCAGAACTTCGGCTTGACTTGGACCAGTATTCCAATATTAACCTCCCAATTGATTAGGCATCAACAGTGGACTCATTTTGTCTGGGGTCAGCTGTGGAGGCATTTGGTCAGACACGAAGAGGCAGTTGAAGGCACTGGAAGGCCAGGGATTGGTTGCTGGCAACTTCCTGGTTGTTTTGAACTGTCAACGTCACTTGTGCTCTGCGGAAAACAACAGAGATCACTGCTCTATTCCTGCCTGCCTGGAGGCCATGTGCTCCAAAAACTGCAAAATTGGAGACATCAATCGCGCCACTGTATGCACAACAGGCATCCCCTCCCAGTGACACTTTCCTGACTCCTTGGCACCATCGAGCAGCAACATGACAACAGAATCACCATGTGTCACATTGTGCAGAGAGATTTACGAGGTAACAGCACCCTCTACATGTTTTCGCTGCTTGCTGTGAGCTGCTTGCAAATCCATGGACTTTCGTTGCAAAAGGAAGCTCTCTGCTGTAACGGAGAGTGCACAACTTCCAAGCAGTGCTTTCTGAAGGTCCACAGGACAAGCTTCTGCACGCAATACAGCTGCACAATACGACAGTGGCAGCAGAGTATCCAAGAAGACACCCAACGCATCTGGATGATGAAAGAATCCAAAGCCAAAGGAAATACCCCCTGTTGTAAGTAGTCCTGAAAGATGCATCGCATAGCCTGTCTCAATAACTGGAGGTTGAGCAATAAGAGATCAAGAAATCTGATTATTATGAGGACAACGCATACTTAGTTTCGTTTCTTCAATGCATTGCAGAGAATACATGTGCAACTGCGCATCACACCGATCTGCGATACATTGCGTCCACATCGCCGTATTGGTTGAAGAGCAGTGTTTGTCATATCTTGGCCCATTAATTGAGCACTTCCACATAACAGCACCTCTATGTACCACAAACAAAATTTTGCAAAGTCACAAATCCGTCTCAGACCTGTAGGCCGTGTACGCCACAGTCTCCAAAAATTTGTGCGATGACCGCACTTGACCATCTCCAATGCGCCATTTTTGTACGACGGCGTACCCATCGAACATGTGCTTCATCGCTGTGCATGAAGTGAAACGTTTCAAAGACCATTGAATTTCGTTTTAGTTAAATTTGCATTATAAATTCAAAGTACTGTAATATCACAGCACGAACACTTCAATGGCACACACAAAGACTTCGGCATAGCTAGCTGCTGAGGGCTGCACAGATGCAGCTACAAATGTGCAACCTTGGTGAGACTGTTCAATTTCGGTACTGGGAGTACATTAATACACTAGTGCAATACACTGGTACATTGCAGCTATATTCACTCATTATAGCAT